CTAAGTTTGAGCCAGAGCTCTAGGTGTGAGCCAGAGCTCCAAGTGTGTGCAAGAGCTCGAAGTCTGAGCCAGAGCTCAAAGTGTGAGCCAGAGCTCGTAGTGTGAGCCAAAGCTCTACGTGTGAGCCAGAGCTCTAAGTGTGAGCCAGTGCTTGTAGTCTGAGCCAGAGCTCCAAGTCTGAGCCAGAGCTCGTAACCTGAGCCAGAGCTCGTAGTGTGAGCCAGAGCTCTTTGTGTGAGCCAGAGCTCTAAGTTTGAGCCAGAGCTCTAAGTGTGAGCCAGAGCTTCAAGTGTGAGCCAGAGCTCGTATTCTGAGCTAGAGCTCGAAGTGTGAGTCCGAGCTCTAAGTCTGAGCCAGAGCTCCAAGTCTGAGATAAAGCTCGTAGTCTGAGCCAGAGCTCTGTGTGAGCTAGAGCTCGGAGTGTGAGCCAGAGCTCGGAGTGTGAGCCAGAGCTCGAAGTGTGAACCAGAGCTTTAAGTGTTAGCCAGAGTTCTAAGTGTGAGCCAGAGCTCGTAGTCTGAGCCAGAGCTCTAAATGTGAGCCAGAGCTCTAAGTCTGAGCCAGAGTTCGTAGTCTGAGCCAGAGCTCTAAGTCTGAGCCAGAGCTCCAAGTCTGAGATAAAGCTCGTAGTCTGAGCCAGAGCTCTGTGTGAGCTAGAGCTCGAAGTGTGAACCAGAGCTTTAAGTGTTAGCCAGAGTTCTAAGTGTGAGCCAGAGCTCGTAGTCTGAGCCAGAGCTCTAAATGTGAGCCAGAGCTCTAAGTCTGAGCCAGAGTTCGTAGTCTGAGCCAGAGCTCGTAGTCTGAGCCAGAGCTCGAAGTGTGAGCCAGAGCTCAAAGTGTGAGCCATGTCCATGTGTTTGTATCCCACAGCAGCCCCCGTCGAAGGGGACAGTGGAGAAGCCCGATCAGGGGAAACCTCAAACAGGTCTTCATTGAAATCATGTGTAGGACTTCTGTCTGGAAAGTCCTCATCCTGAGCCCGCGTATGTTCTGGAGACTCTGTGTCAAGTCGATGCTTCTTGATTTCCAGTTGGAGCTTCAGAAACCTGAGGGCAGTCAGAGGGAACACCGTAAATAATATTTTCTCCTTTGCGACAAGACGAAAGAGTGCTTGACAAAAAGACAGGTGCAGAAACCTGAAGAGAAGTTTTTGTCCTCGCTCCTTTCTGATGATGTTCAGCTTGTAGTAGTGCCGCAAAGCACATAACATTTTCTCATAGGTCATGTTTTCTCGGTTCTGTCAATAAGGCAAGAATCTCATTAAGGTTCTGCGTTGTACAGTCCTGCGCGCCTAACTTTTAATACATTTCTCCCAACATATGCGGATATTTTTGCCTTTCATACTTGGCTCAGATTCCAACAATGATTCACCTTGTGGTTCCCCCAGAGGCGTGCCAGTTCGTTGGGGTCAACTATCCGGAACACGTGGCTGTCTGGGTCTTCCCACCGTATGTAGTCTTGGTAGCGCTCATCACACAGCAGCTGGTACACATAGTCCCACAGCAGTCCGCACTCTGGTCATGAATAAAAATTAAAATGAACCTTGCTAGTTTCGTCTGTGTGCAAAAGAGAAAAAAACTTTCAGTCTACAAGACATCAATACATGTAAATGCAAACACTGTGAAAGAGGCCAAAATCATGCCAATGTTCATATTTTGTACACCAAAATAAAGGCTAAAACATAAACTAGTAGTTCTATAATATGCAAGAGTCTAAGTATGTGATATATTTTGTATATCTGGAGTCTCATGCCAGTGAGAAAAGTAAAGTTTTTCAGCATAAAGTTTGCTGATGACTCTGTTGTCCTGTCTCTTCTCAGCAGTGATGACCCAGACCCCGGGCCTGTGGTCGGGGACTTCACTGAATGGTGTGAGTCTAACTTTTCAAAGTTTAATGTTTCTAAGACAAAGGAGATGGTCATTGCTTTTAGAAAAGACTCTTCAGTTCATGTGGTCATTAACGGTGAAGCTGTCGAGGTGGTGCAACGATATAAATATCTGGGAAATGTTCTTGATGACAAACTGACCTTTGATGCTCACTTGTAAGAAGGCCCACCAGATAATGCATTTTAATCAGAAGCTCTGTGGTTTTAATGTTGATTCTATTTTTATAAGAATGTTTTATTGAGTCTCTTTTAACTTTTATCTTCATCTGTTGGATTGGATTTCTGACATGTACAAACAGGAACAAACTCTCAGGGATTGTCAGGATGTGCAGCAGAACTGCTGGTGTACATCTACAGAACCTCACTGACCTACACAAGACGAGGTCAGTGAACAAGGCCAGGCTGATTCTGGCAGATCCTGATCACCACTCCATGGTGAGTTCAGGTTGCTTCCATCTGGACGCAGGTATCTGCAGCCCAGATGTACGACGAACAGACTGAAAAACTCTTTCATCTCTGCAGCAATCAGGCTTCTCAACAGACAATGATGATGTCTGTACTGTTATTTTAATGTCTTGTGTTGTACGGATGTTTTATGTTCCTACTGACTGTGAAACAAATTGTCCGTTGGGGTCAATATTCTTGAATTTGAACTTGAACTAAAGCATTTTTAAGGATACTGTTATATTCAAACGTTACCTGGTATGCGGCCGTTGGCTTTGTGCAGCGGACTCCTCGGCTTCTCTCGACTGGACAGGTTCAGAGGTTCCTGAATGACACTCTCTTTGGGATGAGGGCATTGAACGGGGTTACGGGGCGACGTTATGTCAGCTGCTGAACCATCTAAGAATGAAGACAAATGAGTGATAGAGAAGTAGCGTTTGCATTAATTAGAAATCCAGCTAAGATGTTTTTTAGCAGTCTTTGTACTATTGCTGTTTATTTTATACCCACTATTATGAGCGAGTGGGGCGGAGTAATGGTAAAAAATGGTGCGATCCCTGGGAGAAGACATGGGCCCAGGCTGGCTGCTCGCAGTGGTTACAACAGCTGCAGGCTGCACTGAGGCGACAGGAACTGCAGGAGAGAAATATGAGGAAACGTGAAGTGCTGAACAGAAAGCAAAAGCAATTTAATAACGGCTCATATGTTTTAGATTAACATGTTTATAAAAGAGTTATGTAATCTTTAACACAGAGGGCATTTTAGTTTACTTATAGCATCTAAAGCACTGAAAAAAAAAGACATATTAGGTTTATCAAAATCCATTTAACCAGATCAAATGAGTAAGTTTTACTTCCTAGAGTGGAACGCACCACTTTATGGTTGTGTTAAATCAGGATAGTGTTGAGCTGCATCAAATTTAAGAGCAGTTTTATGACGATGAATAGATAGATCATCAGCATATTACGTAATGAAATTTCACAACACTTGCACCAACCCATTATGTTTGCAGAGAAGAAGTAAAGGCGAAAGAAAACAGGAAGTGATGTTTGACCGTGTGACCGTCAGGGGTGGGGAAATTACGTTTTTTTATGCTGCAAGAACAAATATAACTTGTCCTCAGTGTGTTCACACACGTTTATGTGACAGTACTTGCAGGTAAATTTTAAACTAGAAGAAACAGTCCGGATTTGATCAGCAACAACACTAAAAAACAACAGCTGTCTGTATAATACAGAGTGTGTATTGTTTATTTGTTGCACTGATATTCTCTCTGCTGCACAACTCCCTGCCTACAACACATGATAACCCATTTGTGCTTTGTTGAAAATAATAGTTATTTTATTATAATTGTTAATAATTTATCAATACTTATTTTTAAATCACTGTGATTCTAAAAAAAAAAAAATCTAGTACTTTAACTTGAAAGCCATTGTTTGTCTACAATTACACACATTTTCCACTTTTACTAAATAAAAGTTTTGTTCTTAGAAAGACAAGAATTTGGCAAAGTACTCTTATAACAATGAGTAACAACAGACATGATGCGCTTCTAAACTTTAAGAAGTGATAAAGTCATAAATGTTCTGACCGGGGGTGTCACTGACGTCACAGGCCGTGGGTCTTCGGCAGAGCCCTGTAAAGAGAGAGTCCCGACACTCCCATAGACTCCCATAGAAAGACTGGAATGCGGAAGTCACGTGGGTCATGAAGCGGCAAAGAGTTCCAAACAGCAGCGGTTCAGCATTGAACGTAGTTCATTCTCCGTGTTTTCCCGGTAAGTTGATGAAAATACGACACTTTTTTGCCATTGTGAAGCGTTATCTGACTGTTCTGTACCACAATTTATCAACATTAATACTTCATGTCTCCAGTTTTAGTTAATGAAACATGTTAAATTACTAGTTGTGTTTTAACTGCAGCTGCTCTGCAACATGACGGTTTAAACGGGTCTATTTCTAATTCAGCGTTTTAAAATATCTATTACTGCTTACATTTTGAAAGGTTGTCCTTTTTTAATTTATGGTAATTCCAGTTACTGAACTCAACATGAAAATATTTGGCTTTTTTTCCTGAGAGATTCATTCAACCTTTATTTCTACAGGTAAATCCCATTGAGCCTCGAGGACTCATTTACAAGAGAGACCTGGTTTAACAAAGAATGATGACAACATGACAACAAGATTGACGTAATTTAGTTAAAGTTATAGATCATTTGTCAAAGACTGCAGCATAAATTGTGACATTATCATTAAAGAAAAACGTGATTGTGGAGATGAGTCAATGTTTTCATGTTTTCCAGGTAAACCAGAGGAGAATGACTTCATGAACTGAATGTTGCATTCAAAGTATCACAAAGGTACAAGATCTCATTTTCTGTCTTCTATTAAACATTAACAGCTTAATCAAGATGTTTGAATAAAATCACTTTAACACCATAACCTTCACAAAGTTGGTATTTACAGCAGGACTGTTGATTTACATTAGTTTTATATTATTAGTTTAGTGTTTGGTAATCATGGGTCAAGTTGAGATGAGACTCTTTCAAGACAGAACAAGAAATAAGAATTATTACAAGAATATATCAGCATCAATAAACTGTAGAACAGTAACAAAACACTTATTAAACTATCACAGGTACATTGAGATGGAGCTGGAAGTTATTCTTCATGACAGTTGTCTTCATCTGATCTTTTGTAAAAATATGTCAATTTATTTTCCATTGTTAACATTTTTCTTCTCAGGACTGAGTTAATTTTCTTGTCTGAGTTTCTTCTGTCCTGCTTATGTATGTTTTTGTGTTCTAATTGTTCCTCAGGTTGTTCATCTCTGTTCCCTGACTGCCTGTTGATCCATCCTCCTGGTCCTGTTGATCCATCCTCCTGGTCCTGTTGATCCATCGTCCTGGTCCTGTTGATCCATCCTGGCCCTGTTGATCCTGGATCATCAGATCCTGACATGTCCCCGTCCTCTGAGGACACATTTTCATCTGTCCCTCATCTCACTCGCCTCATTTCTGTTTCTTCCTCAGTCTCTGAAATTATAACGTCACTGTTAGAATGAAGATTATTGTTCAATAAAAATATGACGTCTTATTTAACATTGTTCGTACCAAAGTTTAATTTAGAACAACATGTGTGATCACTGGTCAGTGGAAGTTCTGCTGTTCTTCTCATCTGGTTCTGGTCCATGAACAAATGGTTGAACCTCCTTCAGTCTCACACGTCCTCACTGTGTCTCTGTGAACTGTCCTCTCTCTAAATGTGTCTGTAGAGTGACATTAGTTTATTTTCTTGCACATTTCTTTGACAGTTCAACATTTTGAGCCCTGATTGAAAATGTTTGTGCAGATTAAATTTACAGCTCTCACTTTGTGTTGTTGTGATGATGATGATGATGATGATGATGGTGCTCCTGCTGACTTCAGATGATGTCATTAATAAACAGTATAAATGTCAGTAAAAGTACTTTATTAAAGCTTGCTTTACATTTTACATATTTTATAATAAATTGTTTGGAAATTTATTTTTGCACAGTTAACACTTATTTTGTCATCTGTTGTGATTTTAACTAGAAACAGTTTCATTTAAATTAACATTTTAATCAATGAATTACAGTTTTACAATAGTTGTCAGGCTACAATCAACTCAGTTACCAGGTACTTGGTTGCCATAAAAAACGACAAATACAACAATTATATTCAGTCTCTCTTGTAAATGAGTCCTCAAGGCTCAATGTGACGAACCTGTTTAAATAAAGGTTGAATTAATATCTTCAATATAAATCAATAATTCATCCAGATGATCTGAGGTAAGCTGGAGCAGATCTGAACTGCTGCATGGAGGACAAGGTGGAGCATTCTCATGCAGAGAACATCAGAAACAGCTTTATAACAGGAGTTACTCTGATCTTTCTTTAACGTGTGTAACGTTATAAAACACTGACATGGCTATATTGATCATTGTATTGCATATACATTTTTTCTAACAAATATGTGTTTGCAGTCTCGTTTCCTTCTAAAATTTAATGATAAATGTATCAGCCGCTTCTAAAAATGCTTTGATAAAATCCATAGTCTGTGAAATAATCAGTAATCAGTTAAGTAATCTGTTCGTTACTGCTCAATAATTACTGAAAAACGTCAGGTAAAGTAAGAAAAGTCGATTTTTGTGTTATGTTGCACCAGCAGCTGCTCAAACTGACTGACAGGATGAACTGTTTGGAACTATGGGGAGCTGCATGAACCACGTGACCGCGTATCGGCGAGTTCAAAGAGTGTCACAACTCTCTCTTTATAGGGCTCTGGTCTTCGGACGTAGAGAAGACACGTGGCATGTCTGACTGTCACGTGGTCACCTTTCCAACACAGAGTGCGTTTGATGAGACTGAAATAGTATAATTATAAATAGAAGCGCTGGATAAAATCACTTACTTTGAATAAAAACACAAGAGAGTTAATCAGTAAGTGTGTTGGCACTTTTGTTTGTGAACAACATGAAAAATTGGGATAACAAGTTGTAGAAACGCGTCAAAACTCCAGGAAGTCTGATGACGACACAAGAGACCGACCATCACCTCCTCCATCCTCGCTCGTGAACCGCCCTGTCCCCCCTCACCGTCCTCCCCCTCCCAGATGGAGCCCCTCCCCCTCCCTCCCAGACCGAGCCCCTCCTCCCCCCTCCCATCATCCTCCATCTCTCGCTGCCGCCCCTACAACAAACATGGCGGCTAAATCCGACGGAGCTCCGGTCTCTCCACGAGACGAAGCCCCACCCGAGCGTCCCCCCCGGGCCGGGGCCGGGGGGCAGCGGTACACCCTGCGGGACTTCTGCTGGACGCTGTGCGCCCTCCTGGTCTTCTTCTCGGACGGGGCCTCGGACTTGTGGCTGGCCGCCGACTACTACCTCCGGCGGGAGTTCTGGTGTTTCGCCCTGACCCTGGTCTTCGTGGTGGTCCCGTCCGTGGTGGTGCAGGTGCTCAGCTTCCGGTGGTTCGCCTTCGACTTCTCGGAGACCGTGGAGAGCGGCACGGTGGCGGCCGCGGTGGTGGCGGCCGCGTCCGGAGCGGAGGAGGCCGACTTCAGCACCAAGGACAGCGGCGAGTGGGGCGCTGGCCGGGCGGGCTCCGGGGGGGGAGTCCGGGGCTGCTGCAGAGCCTTCGTGTGGTTCTTCCAGGCCCTGGTTCACGTCTTGCAGCTGGCGCAGGTCTGGAGGTGAGTCTCACAAGTGTGCGGGGACACGCTGTCTGTCCTGGTGCGGGGACACGCTGTCTGTCCTGGTGCGGGGACACGCTGTCTG